GGATAATTCGTGACCATCCTCTGTGTTCAGATGGAAATGCACGAGTTGTGGAGGTGCTCCAGTGGCCATTGGGAGAGCTTTGTGTAATAGCCTTCCGTTCCTCTGCCTGCACAGAAGGAAGGGTCAAGCTCGTGTCCAAACATGCTTGCAGTGCGCTCTATAGTATGTGACAATTCATCTGCTTGAGGTATTGCCCCATTCATGAATTTCCCAGAGGCACTTCCTGGTTCGTAAACCCAAACGAGCTCACAGTGTACATTAAATAGCTGCTAAAAGTGCTATTTCTTGTTTGGTACACCTCTTCCCACCGCCGCTTCAGCACGAGACAGTAGAACTAAGGATTTGTGTCCCTTTTATCACTCGCTAAGGTTTTCGTGTTCTGATTTAATGCAATTTAGTCATGCAGCGTCACAGGAATTGAGCATCTAGAGTAGCATGGTAGGCATCTAATGCGTCTGTCCCTTTGGGCCGTGCGACTTTTTTTGGCAAACTCTTAAAAAATTCGTTATTTATTCATGAAGTGGGGAGAACACGTTTGGTGCACATTTTGGTAGAGCTGCTGAGGCAGAAAAGCTGGAGAGGTCCTCGGCAGGACCCCTCCATCTTCGCTGCCTCATATGTACGACTGTAGTGAGCTAAAAGCACCCTTGCCTGTACACTGGTACCCTGACAGCCTACAAAGATACAGACTTGTCTATAGTTTTCAGAACACCGCATAGACCCTTGAATGAACTTATTAGTTAACGTTATTGCTGTCTCCCCTCTTCTGAATGCCCACTTATTCTCTTGATGTACATGCCACAGCCGGTGTAGTGCCTAGGCAGTACAATAGGGCTTCCCGCTGACCTATAGAGGATAGCCACCTGATGGCCCATAAGCGGTTAAGAGATTGAGACGCTGATTGAGCGCTGTAACATCTTACTAGTGAAGTAGGAAAGCAATTTATTAGCAAAACAACGTATATAAACTAGAAATGTCTACGAATACCCTAAGATGGGGGCTGCCAACAACGCCGGCACCGGCGCTGGTCACATCCTCACCGGACCAACAAAGCAAGAACCATGAGAAGTGACTTTGATGAAATATGCTTTTGAGAACTGGACACAAGCGGTCTTTTTTATAAATTGGTAGACGTTACGCGACCGATGCGTTGGTAGTAGAGAGGATTTCATAGAACGCCCAAGTTGTGAGCCGTGCAGCATCGTAGTCGCTGATTAGAACGCGGCGTACTACAGCCGGCTTCAGCGGTAATATTACCAGACCGAAACGCTCAGCTGCCTGGAGAGGACCTTAGGCCTCACCTACAACAACGACTTGCTTTCGTTAGTAATACCTCCCTCATAACAAATTTTACAACCCTTCGAGGCTGATTCCGTGGAACATTCTAGTACCATAGCATCCTCTTGGCTAAGTATAACTTGGCGAGGCTGCAAAGGCCTTTTCTAATTCTTGCGTGTATTTGCACTAATTTGAAGATTATCTAACTCATAAAGTTGAAGAAAACTGAATTTGGTGGCACCTTAATGTGTATTCGTGGCGACTCAGGGTCCCCGCAAAGCCAGAAACATATGGACCAGTACTAGAGTAGTGCACAGGTACTACAATAGGGCTTGCTGGTGACGTATGGAAGATAGCTCGCTAGCGACCTACAAAAGGTCGTAACACTGAACGAGGACGGGACCCTCTTACTAGGATCGAAGTAACGCAATTTGTCTGCTAATTAACATGCATACACTAGAGGTGCCTGTAAATACCTGGAGATTGGGGCTGGTGATTGCGCCAGCACCCGTGGAGGCCTCCTCACCACAGGGCCTAGGAGGCGAGGACCCAGAGTGGGGAGGATTTTCAAGAGAATTTGGAAAAACTAGAAATAACTGTATTTCGTGGTATTTGGGCTACTGTTCCAAGGAAATGCGCCGAAGGTAGACGGTTATCATAGGCCCTACTCGAGGAGGCAAGTAGCAGCGTAGTCGCAGCAGTAGGTGCTGTGTACTACAACTAGTGCGCTAGCGTGCGTTTCACCACAGTGTAATTCTGATCAGCTGAGCTTTTCGCTTTTTTTCATTAGGTCAACTGTTGGGCCTCCAAAGAATTAAGGAACTGACCTATAAATACTAAACGCAAAATTTTTCATATTGTAGGCTTCACTATTTCTCTGAAGTGCTATTTTCTAGCCTATATCAAAAACGAAAGCAACCAGATAGTTTTGTCCGTGTAAGGCAGCAGCGAACTCACCACTACCATTACGTGTAGTCCGAAGTGCTTCTTTGCGAAAGCATCCAGACAGATCACGCAAACATTCCTTATATCAACAGAATTATCATCAAGGCGTGTTTCTAGTCAATTCTTCCATGAAAAGATAACTCGAACGGCTCTGTCCCCCACCTCTGAGCCTTTAAAGTAGGTTGGCTTCTCTGCAGCTCAGTCAACCCGAAAGCCTTGATGGGCAGTTGGCTTTCTTAGCTGGTTGCCGCTCTAGCTAATTGATTGTCCTAGTCAACTGGCGCTTATAACTCGTTGGCTCTATCTCTTGCCCAGTTGATCTGACGAAACACCAATATTGCATTATATTGTGCTCCTTCCACGGAATAGGTCACTATAGGCTCACCTCACGCTCACTGGAGGACCACTGTAGTGCCTATGCGCTACGGTGGGGTGTCGGTCGACTGGAAGTTACGAAAGACTACTTTAGAGGAGCAGTCGAAACTTCCCCTTCTACATTATGGAAATCCCTGAAGCTGTGATGAAGTCTTACAGAAAGGATTCATACGCAGGTGCTTCCGCTGATGCGCCCACTGGAAGAAACACACGGGGAGCCGTCCTGCCTTGATACTGCTTCATAACTGCATGCAAAAAGCACCGCAACCGTCTTATTCATGCAACACGAATTAATCAGTTAACAAGCTGATGCATTTATGCATGGCGGGTGATTCAAGGAAAAAAAGTACAATGAAACGCTTCCACAATTTTAAGCGTATGTACAACATTCCTTCCCGTAGCACCGGTGGTCTATGCCGCAATAATATATTGGGGTATATCACGGGAGAACTTAATAAGCCTTCGCTGGCAAAGCTATATCATGGCTCCATACCCGAGCATTTCATCAATTTAAACTCTGAGGCAGGGGTGTATTTGTGTGTTGACCAAGACACGGTGATCCCTTCTTGGCGTGGTTTACTCGTAAAGCCTTTATAAGCAATATTGAACGGCACCCACACATCAATTAGCTTTAGAGCCTAAACTAAACATCTAAATTCACGCAGGTGATTCTGACTTAAGACGGGAATGGTTGAAGGACGAGGCATCGAAAGTAAAAACACCCTGGTGGTCGGCTGAGCATGCAGCATTCTGTGATAGAACGCTTATACGTTCGCTGGAATCTTGGCACGAAGCACGAAACTGGCCGAAAACGTGTAGTTCACTTGATTGTCTGCACCTTTTCGCTCCTGGAAAGGCAGCCTTTGCTATTTTCGCTGCACAGGAGTGGTCGCGTGCCCGTGCCGAGACGCGAGCGGAATATCTGGAAAAAGAAATCAGCATTCTGCAATGCGCATGACATATACACTGCCGCATGCCTTGAAGGACACTATTCAAATCAAAGAAAACTATTCATGCTTTTCCGTTTCAGCGTGGAGATAGAGTGCCTTAAAAAAGGATTCCAGAATGCAGTGACATAATATCTTACGGGTTATTCGTGCAGTTTATCGCGCCATGTTGCGCAAACAGTGGCTTCGAAACGCCTTTTGCATTGAGTGCAATGCAAAAACCAGCATCCATTACTTTTGACTGTCGCGCGTTGTACGCTAAGGTGCTTTAGACAAACGAAAGCCAGCGATTAGGCGCCCTTCCGGGACAGTTAAACAGCAAAAGAGTCAAATACACAGGACACCAGCCATGCTCAACGCTCTTTTCCGCTTTGGCATGTAGAGAATGCGTAAACCATGCGGGTCACGCGGCAGCTTCATGCGTTGCCAGTACAGGGGAGTGATGCAAAGGAATGCGACATTAATAGTCACAATCTATGCCACAGAAGGTTCTTCACACAAAAGCAGTGCATGACTAGGGTTCAAAAAAAATATCTAACTATAGTTTGACGCTGCAAGTACCAGTAACCTAACTCTCTTCAAAGGGAGGAGTTCTGTAGGTATGGGCAAGCGTCAGTGCATGAAGTGTGCACGTTCGGTTGCTGTGAGCCAGAGCATTTTCCCCTGATCCGCATTCCAGCATATCGAAGTTTCTGCGCTTATATAGCTCAGTTCTCCTGCCTAGCACAATAAACATGAGCTTTTGCGCAGGCTATGAGCAAAAGACCCACTACGAGTTTCACATGACAAAGTGTGCTGGACAGGAATCAACAATAGGCACTCCAGCCGAAGCAACCTAGCGCTTGATAAGTGACGTGATGAAGATGCAACATTGCCATTCGCGCTTTTTAGTCTGTCACTTGGATGCATGTTATCGTAGGCGGTCATTACATTGGTATTGTTGGATCTATGCGAAACAGTCACTGTGTGATTCTGTGGTAGGTCAGGGGAGCACTGTGAGGCTGAACAAAAGGCCTCAAAGTGAATAGATGAGTTTGAAATGATCATTCTAGAGCATGACGAATCTCTATAGAAAACAGAAAAAGAATTCAGAGGCCCAAGGCGCCTGTCTGCCACTTTGCAGAGAGGAGCCTTCTTCGGGAAAAAAAAAAACTTGCATCCGAGTTTCTGCTCCGTATGCTGGTGTTGCCTGTACGCTAATGGATAACAGCGATCTCAAGACTTGCGGACTCACTCTGGTCTCCCTGCGTTTTCTTCGTGGTAGGACTTCCAGCAGCGTCATACAATGGCTGCCTAGCACTAAGGACATAATGCCCTGCAGCGTTGAAAGGAGGGGAAGTTTAAGGTGTGACTACCCTTATGCGTGGCACAGGAGGTAGCGGAGGAGATGAAGTGCTCATAATTCTCCGTCGGAGAACTATGTCTGAGAACTATGTAGCAAAGAGGCGCTTCATTCTAATCTTCCGATGCGAAGAATATGATACTGCTTTCTTCTCCAAACAGCTGTGCCATTTGCTGCCGCTTTTCCTCTTCTCGTTTCTTCCTCTGTAAGGGAGTGTCAGTGAGAAACCTAAGAGCAAGAAGCTTTAGAAGTATTCTCTCCCTGACTGGCTGTAACAAAGCCATCTGCCGCTTTCGTTTATTTAAGTGAGCTGCAAATTCACGCAGCAGCCCTTGCGTTTCTGGGGTAGGAGCACTGTCTTGCCATATCGACTCTGCTGCTACAGCTGCACGAATCGCTGTAACACCGTAGGCACATACGCAAAGACCGCTGGACTAGCCTTGAGCAATCCTTACAACAGCATTCATGACGAATGCATGGAAGACCACAGAGGTTACACATGCGCTTGGCCTGAAAGAGTTGCTCGATATATTTCTGACATTCGCCACGCTGCTTTCGAAGTTAGCTGTGGTATTAAGAGCTGCTTGATATATTCCTGAAATTCGTCACACTGCTTTCTGGTAAAGCACTGAAACGGCTGTTTTAATTTTCCTTAACGGAGGTGAGTTACTTTCAGCATGGCATTGCTTCACTGCTTTATAAAAGCGCACGTGTGCCCTCAGGTGTCTCTCACCTGACATTTTCTCAAACACTTCGGCAACGGTCCATTCAATGGCTCTGATTATTGTCTTCAAGTTGTGCAATTCTTTTAGGTTTGCGGTGCCGAACACGGTTGAAAGATGTGCAGCCCTTTCTAAGTGCCGGAATGCCAGAGCGTTGGGCATGGCTGCTGCAGCACTGTCTGCTGCTGCTGCGGCGGCACTGTCAACGCTCCATAAGCTCTCCTCGCTCGCTTGCTGCTGTTGCTTGAAAACATAGCCTTCATCTTGTGATGGGCGCTCCGCTCTACCGACTGGCTCCTTTGTCGTTTGGTCAGAATTTTTATGAGTATACTCTGCGACGGCTTCGGTTGGCTCCGTTGACGATGTTTTGGCTCTTAGCTCTTCTAGCCATTGCTCCAAGGACTGCTCTTTCTTTTCGATAGACTTTTTACTGCAGCGTCTTCTGCTCCTGCGTCTTGTGTCCCTTTCTTCGATTGCTCCAATATGCTGTACAACAAGTGCTTCTAGATCTCTAAATGCTGTATTTACCAAGTGTACAGGTAGCAACTGTTTCTCTGTTACTGCGTAGCGCTGCACCAACAGGTTTGAAACAGCAAGTTGTTCTATTAGTCTTGGAGCTACACGAATCCAGAAACGAGCATGCTGACGCCTAGTAGGCCAAGGGGCCTCAAAGGGCCGAAGGCTATAATCGTTTTCCTGTATTTCTTTCTCGCCGATTGCTAGCACGCTATCGTTGCTACTGCTCCTCCAGATATCTTGACTACCACCGCAGCTCTTTTGAAGAAGGGAACCCTCCCACAAAGAACTGATCGTAAGCCAGATATTGTGGAAGAAAGAAAGGACTGTCGCCCTACTGCCTGCCATGTTTCTTCTGCTTTTGTTGCTGTCATTGCCGCAGCCGATCATCAATTCATACTGCTGAAGTAGGGGGCTTTCAGTTGGTACGAAGCACCGGATCAGGCAGAAACCAAAGAGAGTTAAAATTAGTCCCGCTGTGCAGGCGTGCACCACTGCGAGAAGCAGGTGTTGATTAGAGTACAGAAGAAATGAATTTGCCTTAGCTCCAGAACCCGCCGCAGCCAAAGCTATGCCGCTGATGCCCCCCAAATGAAGAAATACAATATAATGCAAACAATTACTGCTGTGGCATCTAAATGGTGCGCGCACGATCGACAAAAAACAGAAGAGCAATAACACCGCCGCAGCTACTGCTGTTCTTGCCTCCTGTCCTAATGGTTTATGACTTATGGCTTCTCCAAGTGAGTTCGTGGTGACTGTAGATACCGAAGACCAAGCAGGTTTGACAAAGAAGCTCACAAGCCATCCTAGACCACTAGGTAGAAGGTCGCTACGTTGACCCAGAAGGGACGACAAGACAATAAGAGCTGCTTTTAGAAGCAACAACCATATCCTAAAGTAGCTGCGAAATGGGCCGCCTTTAAAGGAAGACACTAGCCAGACCTTTATCTCCATCCAATCATCGTTAATGAACAGGAGATACTCCAGTTCCCGCTGCTTGAGGTATTCTTCCTGCTGCCTACTTTGTCTAGCCACTGCAGTGGCCCTCACGTCACGCAGCAGCACAGCAGTAGCGTGTGAAAAGAGTGTGATTACACCTAGAAAGGATATTATCCTAAGTATTAACAATCCTGTAGAATCACATACATCAGCTTGATCACTACAAAAGATCAGTGGTAATGCAATGGCCAGAAATGCAGGGAGAAGAAATAAGGTTACTGCTGCCCTCAGCTTTGTGGCTGCGCCTAGCGTACAATAAAAGAAAGTGATGCCTGCAGACCTGGTTTTACTGGCTACTTTCTTCCACCGGGCAGCGAATGTTGAGGATTCAGGTTGAAAAGAAAGCGCTAGCATGGCTGTAACAGAGGGACGCGCTTGAGACGGCCTGCGAAGCTTTTGTGCTTCTTGCTCTTTCGTTATTTTTTCTAGTTCTTGGCGTCGCTGATAAAGCTCATATGCATGAACAGCGCGAGGCCATGCTGCTGCAGCTACGAGAACCAGTAACATGAGCAGCAGTAGCACGAGCCCCCTTGTGAACGCATCTAATGGATAAGGGCCAAGTACGTTTGTAGTGGAGAGAGTCCGCAAAACAGTTGCTACGTCGAGTAGAAACAGTGCAAGCATTTGCGTCCAGGTATTCCAACCGTACGGAAGCGATGGTTGAAATGCAGCGAGCAGAATAGCAAGTAACTGCATTCCGTCAAGCAACAGCCACCATTTCTCTTGCCAATAAAGGCTAACATCGCGACGGAGCCCATGGCGTTTGCTCGTATACTCCATGATTTTTGCTCTAGCAAAAATGCAAAAAATAAACAACCCAAATAACTTCGATCCAAAATCAGCCTGCTACACTGTGCATTCGTTGAGGAGAAACGCATTGTGGAAGCCAAGGAAAAAGGAAACATCCTAAATACTAAAGGCATGCATGTGAAGTTGCGTTGCAGTCCAGTGCGAGCTTTTGCTAAGTCCAAATGAACCATGGGACTGCCCGCCAGATGCAGGCATTACTGAAGGTTGAGTTTTAGTGAATGGCCCGCGATGCTGATATGCAGTAATCGGCTGCGATTTCTTTTTTGGGTGATCGCTCCACAGTAGCAGATTTGCAGCAAAGGAGCAAACAGCTCTTCATGTGTATGGTAGCACTTCTCTGCATAGGTAAAGCTGACAGAACGGGTGTCGCAGCTGACTCTATGCCTAGGCCACTCTCGATGGAAGCTTTCTTCAATGCTACAAATATAGAAGTTTCTTCAAAGGAATGGGCACACCGCTTGAGCGACTGTTTTTTTTGTATGCTTTTGCAGGCACAAAATAGGGCCACCTGCTTTACAGAAGACAGTACCTGAAACGAAGCCGTCTCACAACACCGTTACAAGTACATTAAGCCCCAATGAGCTGAGCACTTCAATGTTCATCTCCAAACATTTCTTTAAAACACTACTAGCCTCGTGCCTTGGTTCCCACAAGTTAGTCGTAGGACTGCGTGGCAAAAATACAAGGCGAACACCGCTGCAAACGTCTTTCGAAAGCATCAGGTGGTGATTAAGATCTTGTCTTCTTGGCTGTATGGCATTGCATGACTCTATTTCAGTTGCGTCCAGCCATTTCTGCCAATCCATACCGTCTTCGGTCTCGTTCTTCTAACCATGTATAAACCACAGGTAAGCGTTTCTATAGGCTGTAAGTGTGAAAAACATCCAACACACGCGCTTCGCTAACAAGACTTTATCTTTCTGGCTCATAAATGCTGCTAACGTGCACACCCATACTCTTGTGCATAGCAAAAATTCGCTTACAGGAAAAACAATTTAAGAATAGGATCAAAATTTCACTGTTCTGGTTGATGTAAGTACTGTTCAAATGCTCCAACCGCCAGCTGCTTTCCAGTTACTCTCAGGTTCTGACCTCTGAGAAAGCTCAACAGCACGGCCTAAGGTGCTCTACAAACACCTTTCCTCTATGCTTGACGAACTGTCTAAATGCATGCCCAAGCTGCGTTGCGTATTGAAGTACAGAGAATTGAAAACCTGTTTCTGTGATTGAGTCCAACGCGGATTAAAACTCTGCGTTTGCCGTTTATATCGGCAGTACCCTACCTTTGAATTTTGAAGATTTCTAGAAATACCGGAAGTATACCAAAAACAACTCTGATGCGAACGTACAGAACTACGTTGACGTCCGCACCACAATGTTCAGAGTCGAGAGCAAAAGCCTATCGCCTGTCTCTCTCCGACTAAGTGCTGAAGCACCATCAGCTGTGTTGGGTCCTTGTCAAAACGTTTGGTACTTCTTGTGATTTGTTTCACTTGCGTGCGTTTTTCATCGAATGAACTCTGATATTTCACAGTAAATTGGACAGATATCTTGGGCAGCATGCAACCCTGAAACTCTACCTTTGGATGCGCGTTTTTGACGACCGTTTATAAGGACGTGTTGAAGACAGAATCGAACGCTTCATGGTGTAGCCCTCTGTGAGAAACAATTTAATTAGCTCTTTTGTCAAAGTAAAATCAGAGTAATGCCCATAGGGGAGGATGGCAGTACTCCAAGGGAACATGGCAAAATGCCCACAAGCTAACATGTTTAAAAATATCTGTGCTGGGAGGCGTCCACTTGCTGTTTATATGGAATGCTTTTCCGATACGATCTTCAATATCTGTTAGTGTCACCGAAACGTACAGCGCGCCAACTGGGCTTCGCATTATCAGCGAAAGAATATGAATTTAAGATTCGTGCTACTCGCACATGTTCAAAAGACTTCGGCGGTTCGGCACACGTAGGTTCGTGCACTTTCAGAACCTTTAGCTGCGTTGTACCTATTCCGCCCCGTTTAGGCGCACGCGTTGTATGTGCGTCTGCTTTTACGGTTGGAGCTCTTGTCAGTGTAAAACACAGCGGTTCATCGATTTAAACTGCTATCATAGTGCGCGAGCACCGACTAGGAACTTTCGAACGCAATTCCTCAAGGCCTCTTCCTGCGGAAATATCATGCTTGCCCACGAACAGCATTATCTAGTTTCATAATTTTTTACCAGCACAACTCAAAATCTAAGGCGCAGGGCTTTGGTTTATCTTGCCACGCCAGCTTCATAGATAGGCAAGCAGACTGGCGATTTGATGCCAAGGCACGATCTGGCGCGCTGAAATTTACGTGGGTAGGATCGAATTCTGATTGTCTTTCAGCTGCTTTTGTTTAGTGACTTTCTAGGGTAGCACATTGAAGAGCTCCTGGTGTGACCCTTTAAGATCACCCGTTCAGAGGCTTTGTTAGCTAAAGAGCTAAGTGTTCAGAAGCCAGCAAACGAGGGAGACGAAGTGAGCGGCTGGTACGTGATCGGTTTTCCAAGAAATGAGTGACTTTAAGCTGCAACTAGACTCTAAAAGGACATTTTTCTGCTTAAATTTGTGCCATTTCACAAAATATGGTACTGCGTCGAGAATTTAGCTTTACCGGGACAGTGTCGCGAGCCTCCGCTACACCGTCTCACAAGCAGCATGCAAGTCAAGTAATCCACATCCAGTTTAAGGGCTTTTCGAAATCGCAGCTTGGCCTGTTGGTGATAAATCCTGAAAAACTGACGTATTTTGCTAAGCCAGCACAGCTGCCGGCATGCGGAGCTCTCCCGCAGATAGTCCATGCTTCTGAAAGCACAGGCGCCCCGAATAGCTTATCTAACAGCACTGCTGAAATACGTGTAAATACAAAGGAGATTGACTAGACAAGCGTGTATTTTCAGCCTCATGGGCAACAGAGATTGTACACTGCAGACGGTGAATTGCCGTCCGCCTCGCCGGCCCGTAGTGTCGCGGGCTGAAGTTCGTACAGGTCGTCCAGGATGATTGACGGAACCAGCCTGCTTAAGCATACTTCACTACTGTTGAGCCGCGCTGGCTGCTATCAGGCTTACAGGGCTAGAAAATAATTAATTTCGACTTGCCCCGCACACCTTCTGAGAGCGGCTATGAGTATTATAAAATGGCATGCAAGCGAAAAGGAGCCATCCCAGCATACGAAAATAGCATCTAAACAAAATAGCTGTTGTTTGACAGAGAGGCTGAAACGTGTCGATAGAAAACCAAGGAGCAAACTCATGCTTGCTATTCCATAGTACCATACAGGCGGCACGTTGCTCGCGTCTTCCCGAGGGGAGCCATGGGCGAGCGGTTTTGTGGTGGAAAGACGTTGAAGACCGCTGAAGTTCAGGCTCTCATCTTACTCCTAGCAATACTTTGAGAACCAAACTCAAGGTAACTGCATCCCAGCCGCAGGTTTGCCCACTTTGCAGGAACACGACCCGTACGCCGGGACATGCAGACGCTCAACAGCATGATGCATCGCTGCAGAGCATCTGAAGCGTTTAGCGTGGTACTCCGGTATCCTAAACACTGTGCTCTGAGGCCAGAGGGGTGCTGTCGTGTGAGCCGAATCCAGAGATGCGTCCATAACACCAGTTGCCATCAGCCCTGAGGACTTTTAATGAGCCTTCCTAAGGCAAATAAGGAGCATTTAAGCAATAGCAATATTCGCTGTGGCCATAGTTGTGCGGCAGATGCTTCGTGTCCGAGCCCATGAGCACCAATCTTTGCAGCATTAGAATTTTTAAGAACCATGTGGACAGGAAGACAGTGTATCTCAATTTATCTGCTTGGGTATCGTCCGCTGTTGGTAATAGGCCAGCCTGAAGGCTGCGGCTGGCTTCCTGACCTGCTGGGCTCATGCCACGTCGTACGCTGTTTTTCACCATGCTTTGCATGAATGCAACTCTGATAGTACGGTGTACTTTAGGTGGACCAGAGTACTACATCGTTACGGAAAGCGGCGCGTGGTGCGCATGGCCTATGAGTTCTGCGCGTTGAATTTCCTCACGCTTGCCCATGATCGTGCGGCGCAATACTGTGCATAGGGCCGGTGTGTTGTGAAAATTTCCATATATAGAAGAGGTCACACATCAGGTACTCCTTGTAGGGCAGGCCACGCAAGGATACATGATCAGGCACCCACTGGAACACTGGACTACTACGTAATTTCGTCCGGTTTCACCAACGACGCCAGTCCTGTTCAGGCGATCATCGAAACTTAGTTTGAGTCCACAGTTTGTCCGACGCCAAACCATGAATTAAACGATGTTCTTCCAAAGGGCGCAAACATAACTTTGCACGGTGGTCTTTTCCACAGTGTACGACATGCCCTCGAAAGTTGTAGCAGAATCCCTTGTTACCGCGGCAGCCAAGGCTGGAGCTGCCGAGAGTCTACGTTCAATGCTCCCCTTGCATAAGACGAGGCTTGTGCCCACACTGTCGCGAACAGGTCTATAAACTCCGCCAGAGTACTTTCCCAGGCTGCTGCTGCTAAGGAAATTTTCATGGTCCCGCTAAAAGATTGCACTATTGTCAGGAACGAAATGCGTGCGTCAACGAAGAATTATCCTTAGACTGCAGTGTACTGGCATTGGCGGAACGGTAATCCCCATAAATTTCATCCAGTGTTAAAATATAGAGCTTTGTCGGCTGTTTTAATGTAATTCCGGTGAACTCTGCCCTCGTTACCCTATTGTAACGCTGCATACACTGCGTGTTTGAGACACTAACTGTATCTCCCCTTCCACACACGTACCCTGCGCTGACCG